AATTGGGGGAAAACTACCTCTTAGGACAGTGCCAATGAAACAATGCCTCAAACTAAACCAAAAATATGTTCTTTTTTTTTTAATGTATATCAAGTGTTTGATCTTTTGTGTGTGTGAAAAAAAAAAATGGAACTTTTAGGCTTTTAATTACAGATTATTGCAAGATTGAATTGGAGATGATACTCTCCTCCGTATGAGATAGGGATGTGGGGTCCACATAATTTAGCGCCAAAAATTGGCAAAATTAATGGTAGTTAACTGTCAATGCTGAAAGGGTGCCACCGGTTCTTGCGTTGGCGTGTAATCACAAACCTATGGCTGTTAATTCGTCCGACTATTTTATAGCAAGTTTTTTTGTCCTTTCTCCTTTCTTTTGTTTTAAACTAAATCGAACATTCGTGAATAAAAACTCGTTTGTTTTCGATGAATGTTCATTTCTTTATTAATTGAGTTGAGTTCGAGCACAAAAAATAAAATAAATTTGTTTAAAAACGAGTTGACGCGGCCCGGGTTGGAACTGTTCGATATTGTTCGCAAAATTTAATTTAATATGTTTTTTATTTTATTTTTGTGTTATTGTATTTCTTATTAAAAAAAATTAAAGTGTGATTTTTTGTAATTCAATTTGAGTAATTTTGCAATATCATTATAATTATAAAAAAAATAAAAGATTGAAAGTTTTAGAAAAATTTTAATCAATAGATTAAGATCAATTATTGATATCATATTACTTAAAATAAAAATAAAAGCCTCACCATGATGCTACAAAGAAAATTACCAAAAGCAAATAAAAAGTAAAAGAGTAAAAAGTAATATTTCTTATTTAGTAACTAATTTTTATTTTTATTTTTATTTTCTTCCGGGGAAATCTTATTATATTAAGTAAATGTCAAACTTTTATGTATATAGATAAAATAAAAATGGCCTACTTACTACACTCCCAAGAATATACTAGCATTCAATTGTGAAAGTTACCTAAATATATGTTTTATATGTAAAGCTCATTAGATGATAGTTAATGTACATTGTAACTCTATATATATGGTTGATATGATGAATAAAGATACGAGTTTATGACTTTTGTTCACCTCTTCTATTCTTTTTCTCTTATGATGAATAAAGATACGAGTTAACGATTTTTGTTCATCTCTTTTGTTATTTTTTTCTATCGTACATATTTTTATGTTTTCTTTTATACTTATGTGATGATTTATATTGCAACACGCTATCAACACGATGTGGGAGGATACATTGCGAATCACTTGGCGATTTAATAATTTTGGTTCTCATAAGTGCGCTTTTTGGGCCAAAAAATCCGAAAAGAAACCTTTAATTCAAATGCTGTTTTATGTACAGTAGAATATATGAACAAATTGGAAAAAAAAATGGTTAGATATTTTCTGTTCTTGATACATATATGCTCTCACTTGAAGAACACTAAATACTACTACATTGATTGTTGAAAAGTGTAATTCATAGAGCTAAACTTTTTTTCAGCATTTATTAATGCAACTACCAAATTGCTTGGCAGACCATACAGGTGATAATAGTAGCCTGAAAAAAGCAAAAAACAAACTGATTTATTGTCCAAAACAACAAAAGATAACATAGTCCATGAGAAAAATGTGAAGATAAAAAAGTATAGAAACTTTACAACCACTCACAAGTTTCCAAAAACTTTACTACCCTACTTGTGGGTAAAGCCCCACAGGGGTTTTTACTTTTTACTGTCCGATTACATACACTTTTATATGTATACGAGTGTGTTGATCCAACTGTTAAAAACTGTTAAAACATAAAACCGTAGTACACACTACATAGGTTAAAATTCACTCTTAAGAGTTAAACAAGGGGTAATTACAAAAGAAACCACAAGGTTTCAGCTATTTAACCTAAAACAGCTAAGGATTCTTGATAATCACAAAAGCACCATCTCAGAAGTACACTTTCACCCCTTGCATAAGCATATATACATTTAGGTTATGTTTGGTAAAACTAGAGGATAAACTAGCTTATAGCTTATAAGTGATTTTCGAGCTTATATTTCATAACTCACTACGTATAGAAAAGCTACCTTATATGGTAAAAGTATTTGGTAAAATTAGTTGATAGATAAACTAGCTAAAATAAAAATTTCAACGAGCTTATTTGAAAAGCTATCTAAAGAAGCTTATGAGATAAACACGAGCCTTTTAAAAGGCTCGTCCTACCAAACAAAGCTTATTTGAAAAGTTAATCAAATAAACTATAAGCTAGCTTATTTGGTTACAAAACATAGTCTTAGTCGATGTCACTTACATGGGTAGCATCGACTAAACCTTTTTGCTTCGGTAAATAGCTCAAACATATGGATTATACCAACTCACAAAAGGCCACAGAAACTCATAACAGCTCAATGTAAAACACATTTGGGATCACAAGCTTTCAACTCCGTTAACATATATAACTTTCTATACGATTTACAGGTCCAACGAAACGAGCAGTAGCATGCATTCCGTTATCATCTATTCAATCCCTAAACACTTTCACAAGACAAATCAATCTTCACAGTGAAAGAGAACTTCACAAAAAGGAAGCACACCAACCCAAAAGCATCACACAATGCTAATAAAACACAAAGAGAACAGGTTGAGGTAATTTTTCACCCAATTTCAGCATCAAGAACCACGAGAGCACGATTAGAACTGCGAATGCTCGGCCCTCGATTAGGCCAGCAAGAACAATTACACTTAGTAGTACTAAATGTTTCCAAGTTAATAATAATCCTCCGCCTTCGATTGTATTTCCTTCTTCCCTCTTTGTTGTTAGTAGTTCGCACAAAGTAAGTGCAGCGCTCGTTTTATCGACCTCTTTTTCTTCATACCCTCGTCTAGAAACAGAGGACAAGGATATGTCACTACACGAGAAATCACATTTATCTTCTTCTCCATCAATCTCCAAAACCCTTTGCTGCTGCTGGTGTTCTTTTCTTACACCCCTTAATTTTTTCGGGACGAATTTCTTCATCTTTGATTTTAGCTTGAACTTTTTCGATTTCGTCTTCGACTTTTCTTTCTCCATCGAAACAGCCTCTTTGAATTCCATTTCTTGACAAGACCTTTCTTCAATCATCTCATCCTCGGGCTGAAGCTGAATTTCATCTAACACTTTCTTAACTTGAATCTCTTCATGACATTCATACCTCTTCGAAAAATTATCTTGATCAGAACTAACCTCCAGGAATCTCAATAACTTCAAAACTCCAAATACTGTGGTTTTCAAAGCCCCTTTGGCCTTTGAACAAGGTTTCAACACAAAACGCGCGTGTTTACACACATAATCCAGCAAAAACAACAGGAAAGCCGATATTGTGATCCCAACAGTCAATCTTTTTGTCCCCAAAGCTAAAACCACAACAAAGAACACTTTCAGAACCACAAACAAAACCGCATTCACATCCACACATGTCTCAACAACACAGTCCCTCTCATCCAAACCATCATTAGTCTCGACCGGAACCCGCACGGGCGAAAATGCAACTGCCGGCGAAAGCTCCGGCGAGATCGAGTGAGGAGGGGGCTCTGATCCGGCGATCGTGGGATTGTGCTGACCCTTTCTTCTCTTGGACAAGTTTTTTAATTTCTCGCGATTTTTTAAGAAAAGATCTACCAGAGAGGTTGGGAAGCCGGTCTCGACAAGGAGAGACGATAGGTCCCGCCGCTTCTGGGATCTGTGGAGATGGTCGTTCACGAATTGGGAAATCCTCGCGGTCTTCATCTTCTTCCATGGCAGATGCATCTTTTTAGGCGCTACTGAAAATCCTGAAGAAAAGGGTCTAATAAGACAAATCCAAAATCGAGGGCCCTGAAGGGTTTAAAATCTTCAAAAACCGTGTTGAAATTTCTGCGGAAAACCCAATCTTGGAGGTTTGGTGGGCTGTACGGATAATCAAATCAAATGAAATATTAAATAAATTAAAAAGAAAATAAAAAAAGCTCTGCCCAGATTCAATTAAATAAAAACCCGATCAATATCGGTTAAAAGTTAAAACAGACACTGAAAATCATTTCATTTCGAAAAAATAATATCTTTGAAAAAGATGGTTATGGAGAATATGAAAGAGGTAGTTCTTGTGATGAAGGAAGAGGGTGAAAAATTGGGTCTATATATAGAAAGGGGCAAAATTAGGTGACTGCCCCCTAACAGACCTTCGGTAGCTATTAATGGAAAAGGACTGAAACCCTTATAAGAGAATTTACGAGGAAGAAGAAGAAAGGGATTAATGTGTGAGCGTATATTGTGATCAGACGCGTGCTAACTGTTCAACTGTTTAAAAATGGGATCGGAGAAATTAAAAAGTGATCAAGGAAACAAATTTACTGAATATACGCATTTTCCCGTTATTCATAGTTTGAATTCTATTTTAGAAATTATCTAGCACCACAAAATATTTAAACTATAAATTATGAACTTATTATTATTATAATTATTAAAATTATTCTAATTTATTTCAAATGTCTAAGAAATTATCATTTAACTGAATGAATAAATTTAAATCTTACAAAAGTGTTTTGGGCTTCAGTTTAGTTGTTTTATTGTTTACTTTCGTTTATGTGAGGTCTGTGACTGTGTGTTTGTAGTTAACTGTGTTTTTTGTTTCTTTCTGGATTGTTTGTTATTTTTTGTGGGAAGTTTGTGTCATTCTCGTGCGAAGAATTTGTGTATTCTCGATGAGCTTTTTTATTTTTATTTTTTCTGATCGTATTGTAATGTGTGTTGTGTTATCTAGGCTGTCTTGAGTAATCCTCCTATCCAATGATTGTAATTATGTGTTTTAGTGAAGAATATGTTTCGAAATTAAAAAAAAAAAAGGAAATGCATTAAATCAGTGGCAAAATGCAGCATTTTTACTTGCCAAAACCCACACCCAAGCCCTTAAAGATACCATAAATAGAGCAGAAAAAAATCCCGTTTTTTCCCCCACAAAGACAAAAAATCACCACAAACCAAAACCCATCTATCTAAGAAAATACAAACAATGAAACAAAACAAGAATGAAAGAATATCACCCCTTCTCAAAAAACCCAAACCTCAAACCAACAAAAAAAAACACCCAACAAACACTCAGCACAACACCAAACTTCACCTCCCCTGTTGATTCACCATCTGTGAAAACTCTTCAAACCCCACCACACCCATCGGGCCCAAATCCCGAGCCCGCTCCTCCTCCTTCCCTTCCTCGACCAGGCCCAAATCCCGGGACCGCTCCTCGTCTTTCCCTTCCTCAATCGGGCCCAAATCCCGGCCCACCCCATCATCCGGCCCATTCCCACCACCATTCCCTCTCAACCAAGCCTCGTGCAGCTGCAGAACATACTCCAAATGCCACAAAACCTCCCCCATCGTCGGCCTTCTCCTCCCTTCCTCCGCCAAACACTTCTCCGCAATCTCCCCAAAACCCGCCATCGACTCCGGACAAAACTTCCCGACCAGACTTTCATCCACAATCTTCTCGAGCAACTTCTTCCTCTGCCACCTCAGCGCCCACTCGGCCAAATTAATCTCATCCCTCGGCAACGCCGGATTTATCACCGGCCGAGCACACGCCACCTCGAAAAGCACAACCCCAAACGAGTACACGTCAGATTTCTCCGTCAGCTGCTGCCTCCTAAAGTACTCCGGGTCGAGATACCCGAAGCTCCCTTTCACCGCCGTGCTCACGTGCGTGTGCTCGAGCGACGGGCCCGTTTTCGAGAGCCCGAAATCGGACATCTTCGCCACGAAGCCCTCATCGAGAAGTATATTCGTGGTCTTCACGTCACGGTGGATAATTCCCCTTTCGGAGCCCGTGTGGAGGTAATGCAGCCCGCGGGCCGCCCCAATGCATATCTCGAGCCTCTGCTTCCACGTCAGCGGCGGCAGCCCGGCCCCGAACAGGTGGGCCCGGAGAGTCCCATTCGCCATGTACTCGTAAACGAGTATCATCTCGTTATTTTCGTCGCAAAAACCGATCAACGAGACTAAGTGCCGGTGGCGTAGCTTCGAGAGCAGCTCGATCTCGGTTTCAAACTCGGTCAAACCCTGCTGAGACTGCGGGTTTGACCGTTTGACCGCCACGACTGTGTCGTCGTCAATTTCTCCCTTGTAAACTTTCCCGAACCCTCCGACTCCAATCACGAGACTCTCGTCGAAACTATTCGTAGCGGCTTTGATTTCGGTTAACGTGAATCGCCTCCCGGATCGAACGGTTCCACCGAGTTGGCCACCGTTCGGGTTTTGATTACCCGTGGTGCTGCTCACGATAGACCCGTTAAGAATCAGAGGCCGCCAGCCTGGCGGGCTGCTTTTCTTGGCTTCATCGTTCTTTTTCCTACAGAAACGGATAACGATGAACACGCAGACGCCAGCTAGGATCGCGATCGACGCTCCGATTCCAGCCCAAAAGATCGGTCTTCTCGACATTTTACCCGTTTTCACATTCCCATAAGACTGCACGTAAGCCAAGTTCCCGTTTTTACTCAGTTTAAAAACCTCGAGCCCGTTTAAGAGAGCATCGGTGCCAGAAGACCCAGTTGTCGAATCGGGCCCGAGCTGTATCCATAGCGTATTAGTCTTCTCGGAAATGAAATCGACATAATCCTCGTGATAAGCTCGGTTCATCCCGCCAGCTCGTGCGTACACGTCGTAATTATCCGATGCCGTTTTGTTGTCGATGAATATCCGGAAGATTCTCTGGTTCGGCCGGTCGAAAACGAGCTCGCAAAAATGGAGTCGGACGAGGTACTCAAAATCCGGGTCGACCTCGAGCTTCCACGACATGTTGAACCGATTTTCGAGAACTCCGGTGTTGGTCAAAGTCCGAGCCGACTCGTACACGGAAAGTGGGGCCACGAAAGTCTCGTTCGGGTTAGCGTAAGTAATGTTCGACCGGTTACGGATTTCCGAGCCTGCGTCGGGATTAACCATGTAGCTCGAGTCGACTTCCCATCGTCTCCATAATGAGCCGTTTGTGGGCCCGATAAACGAGCCTCCGACATTCAATCTGTACATAGTTTCGATCCCTCGTCTGCTCAAGCCCAACGAGGCATTGCCGTTGTTCGACCCGACTCGACTCACCGAGTCGGTGAAAAGCCCGTTTTTTTCTTCCGGAAGAATCTCGATTGCGTTCACAAATCCGAACGAGCCTTTCCTTGGAGCGAAATCGAGGACGATTGAGTTGGTGCTGACGGGAAAGAAATATTCTTTCGATATCGAGCTGTAGCTGGAGTTGCCGGACAGGTGGAGGTTCTTCTCGGCAATCTCGCCGGGGACGTTAAACTCCGAGACCAATCTCAGGCCATTTGCCTCGACGGAAAAGTAAGAGTTGTTGGGGTTATAACCGTCGAAAGGTAATGGGGAAAAGTAGAGCCTGAGGAAATAATCGCCGTTCGGGAGGGAAAATGTGTAATTTAGGCTGCCCGTGAAAATTCGAGCGCTTTGGTAGAGCTGCCGATAGGCTGGATCGCCATTGTAGATGGAACTAAAGGCCTCGATTCCGGTGGAGGTAAGGGTGAAATTGTTTTCCGGCGAAGTGTCGCCTACCCATCTTCTTCCTCCCACATTTACAGTTGAGTTTGTACCGCAGTTTATCAGAAACGACGTCGGTTGAGCTTTTGCAGTGAGGCAAAGCGTAAATATGACCAATAGGAGTAGAAATCTCATCATGCTCAAACCCAAGAATTCTTTTTTTTTTTTTTCTAATTCCTTTACTTATTTCTCTCTCTTTACCAGATTACAAGAAGAAATTGAAGCAGTGATTATAAGCAATTCAAGAACACAAAGGCACCAATTTTAAGGACAAAAAAGGAACCCTAGATAATCTTGAATCACAATAATAGCTTCCAGCCAAAACAAACACTATACAATGGATGAATGAATGAACACACACTAATCTAGTGCATATATTGTTTTTGCAAGCAAAGATTAGCAAATCAAGATTCTCCCTCAATTAATTCCAGCTACAAAATTTTACCTCACATGAAACATAACAGAGGATTTACAATCCAAAACAACAGCTGAACCAAGAAACTTTCTTTTGTAAATTACGGTTCAAAATTAAAGCTCAATCAGCTAATAGATCTGGGCCAAGAAAACTCCCAAGTGCTGGAAAAGGAAACCCCTTTTTGGATATGCTAAGGAACAGCAGTTAATAATTGCAAAGGTACAATCTTTTCATCTATCAGATATGTTGAAAAATCACCAAAATTCTGCAGAGAAAGGAAAAAGTCTCGAAAAATTATTGAAGAAGTTGAAAAAGTAGGAGATGGGCTGGCTGCATATAGTGATAAAAAAGCTTTCAAAATACAGTCTGGAAAATATTCGCCATATTTGTAAAGGTATTGTCTTTTATGAGAGATAACGGGTGAGAATCTTGTGCCAACTTTTATTACAAAAAGTGGGTTTTGCTTGCTCTTAAGGTCGTAACTGCTTTTTTGGTGTGGATGAGCAGTCAAATTAATTAGCTGAGTTTAAAGAAATTAATTACATTAAGGGGTTTTTTTTTTTAATTATTACTACCTCATTTTTTTTATAAAGTAGTGCGCATCCAGTGCGATGCACGGACGGGTTTGTTACTTAAAATATTTTTAAAAATTTTATTTTAAATATAATTATATATATTTAACATCTCATTATTGCAAGAAAGAAGTACAAAATATGAAAAATTATGTATAATTTATTTGAATATAATGGGTGTCGCCAACCAAACCAATGATATCCAACACAAATATATGATAAAATTAATTATATGAATCGTAATGCTTTTTAAATATATATAATAAATATGAGATATTTAAGATTCGTATTAAAATTTATAATTTGGATATGAGATGAAAAATAGATGTGTACAAAAAAAATAGGTACCAAGAATCCACATATTATAAGATTCTTTCTAAACTTTAAAAGATTTTGTAGTTCGATACATATGGACAAAAAAATCATCAACTAAATTGAACAATCCAAAATATAAAAATTAATTTTAGAAATTAACATGCTTTATTAGATAAATATGAATTTTAGTTGTGGCCATAAAATATGAGATTTTTAGATAAATAAATATGGATATAAAAATATTTAACAATTAAGTTGTCATGACTTTTCGAGAATATTTCAAAAAATTTCAAAAGTTTTATTCAGTAAATGATTAACCAGATTTTTGTAACCAAATTTACACGTTTCACCGAATAAATTGAAGGAAATAATAGATCGAATTTTTTGGAAGCAAGATTTTCAAGTTTCATTCTCATTATTCATCAGATCTACCCGTAGAATTTAAAGAAATCGTTCCTCATATTTTTAGGAATTAAGGTTTGCATAATATATTTCTCAAATAACAATATTTTTTGTAAAATTTGAATTCGAATTTTCATTCAGCTGTCATTTTTCAAAGAAAAATACTAATAATAATAACTTTGAAAATTTTAAGCGGAAATTTTAGTATTATTTCAAGTAAGTCCTCTCTCTATTATGTAGTAATAGATATTAATTATATTTAAAAAATGTGGTTAGATATATGTGGATAAAAAATATTATATTAATTATTTTGTTAGGAATGTGATTATATGAAAGTTAAGATAAAATGAAATGTATTAAAAAATCTTGTGATATTTTTTGTTAAATGTTTGAATTTAAAAATCTAATACAAACTTTAGATTATATCACATAAAAAAAATATAACATGTTTATTAATATATTTAAAATATAATTTTTGATTTCAAATAAAGTAAAAGGCGGGATAACTCAGATTTGTTATAGAAAATTTTTAAAATGTTTATTAGCATTTTGGTAACTATATCGATAAGAATAATCGTACAATTTTAATTTCTAAAAATTTGGTAAGTTTGTTAATGAGATAAATTCTGTTAGATAAATGACTAATTAGTTAAAAAATTTGTGTTAGATTAAATTATAACGATTTTTTTTATTTATTAAAAAATATTTTGTATTAAATTAAACTTTTGATAACATTAATTTTATATTTAAAATTTATTTTTTTTTATTCAAAAATATTTTCTGTCAAACCATAAAATTTTGAAGATATCGATCGCCATAAAATCATAAGATAAATATGTAATATTTATATTATTATGGTAAAGGATAATCACACCAAATTAAAAATTAAAAATGAATACTCATTATTGTTTAAGATATTGGATTTACAAAAGAGGAAGAAGAAATAGAAACAAAACTAAATTTAATTGTTTGTTGCATTATTCAAAAATGATGTTTACGACATTATATGTGGATAAGTTGGGATAATATCAATCAATTTTTTCTTGGATAAATACAAACATTAGAAATATTTTTAGGTTAGATAAATATGAACATAACAAACTTTTAAAATTTGTAATTGATTTATATTTTTTTTTCAAACGTTTTTCCTAATTTAGTGAATATGGTCAAATTTACATACATACACGTTTTTTTTTTCATGAAGAAAAAGTGTTTCCATATTTGAAGGAAATTAGAATCTGTTAGATCATGTTATTTATAACAAACCTATTATACACGCTTTCAATTGTATGGGCGGGACATGTTAAAAAATTCAAAAAAAAAAAATTACGAAATATATAAGCGGGAAAATGACTATTATGAAGCGGGAAAACGAATTAGTTTTTTTTTGAATTGTTTGAATAGTTTTTCTTAACTGTATTATATAGTAATAGATGTCATTTTGGCTTTATCAACAATTGTCTAAATAAATGACGTTTTGGATCTTTTGTACATATTTTTCCATTATTACCCTTATCTAGCTAATAAATACACTATGTCTTTTCATATTCACTCTTTATATTTTTTCAAAACATCTATCTCTATCCTCATTATTGAGGGTTATTATTGGCAAAAAAAATATTCTTAATTAGTGTGTAACTTCTCAAAACAACATCTATTAAAAAAAGGAGGGAGTATTATTTATTTTGTGAATTATAAAATTGTAGAGTTGTTGTTAAGTACACCTAAAGATTATAAAGTCATACTTTTATCAATAGATACTAGTGCGTGACCCGTGCGATGCATGGGAAACAATATTACAATTGTATTATAAAATTAAATATATAAATAACATTAATTATGATTTATCCATTGTTTTTAAATTAAACCGGGTTAGACACAGTCCGATCGGATGGACCGAAAACCGGTTTATAACCAGTCTAGTTCGCTTGAATAAAATATTTGCTCTCGAATCCGTCAACACCAGTCGGTTGGACTGGTAGGGTCGATACGATTTTTTAAATAAATTTTGTTATATTTAAGATTATTTTAAATAAAATTATATATTTAAATAAAATAGAGATTTAAAAAGTTGTTTATCAATTAGTTTAAACATTTAAATTTATAAATTATTTAGATATCTAAGTAACACATTTTATGTAAATTTATTACAAAAAGTACTATATATATATGTATCCATTAAAATGTTTATAAATTAAAATATGAACAAACCACAAATGATTTAATAAAATAGCTTGATCATTTCGATGACGGTCCAGTTCTGAAAACCTTATATTCACTGTACATTAATAAATATTATAATAAAATATTATTTAATTTACATAAATATTAATAAAATGGTATATAAATATTCATAAATCATTCAAGATGTTGTCATAAAAGTATTGTTAATACGATTGTGTGAATTTTGGACTACATCACATTCACGTAATAAAATATTTTCAATATAAAATTTATATTTCAGTTCAATAATCAATTTGGTGTGGTTGAACTGATACATAACTTAGTCATCTGGGACCAAACAGGTTGTGTCAAGTTTTTTGACTATTTTTAATATCACCTAGAAGTAATTCAATCAACATAGGCAGTACCCTTATTCAATCACCCGATTGATCCGGAGAAATTTTTTTATTTTCTTTACATATATTTAATTTTATGAAATAAAATTAAAAAATGAAGATTAATTAATTTATTATGCAATTTAAAGAATATTTTTAGCGTTCAATATTTTTTTAAAGGCACAAATATAAAGACCGAGATTCTAAAAATTTTGTTATATCTTGAATTGAGATTTTATAAATATAGAGATCGAGATTTTAATGTTGTTCGTTGTTTATAAGAAATAAATAAAAATAAAAACATACATACTTAATAAAAATAATAAAATTAACTAATGCCTGAAATTTAATGTAGCATTTAATGCTGTATGATTTTTGCAGAAGAAAATAAGAAAATAATAAACTTATTATTTATAGGCTGCATTAAATTATGACCTATTTTTTTGCTATTATTTTTGGTAAATGGTAATTCTTATTATATATATATAAATATAGATATCATATACATATCTTAAAATAAAAATAAACTATAAAAATAATATAAATAAAAATATAACATTTCTTGCTATAAATATCCATGTTATTGAAGAAATTATGATAAATCAACTAGTGTAAGAGTCTAATCTTGTCTCCAATATTTGAAATTAGAGTTGAGAGCATTTCGAACTCCATTATTTGAGCTGCCCATCACATGCATCTGTCTGGAAGATAATCAAGTGGAAATTAATTATGGTGAATTATCGGAAATACCCCTTTGAGTAATGTGAATTAAATAAAGTAGTAATATCTTGTCCTCTTGTCTTTTTCCGTACCTGTAGTACCTCATGTACCTGCTGTAGTTCTGTGACAGAAAAATTATAATAATACCGATCAAATAATAATAATAAAATGAAGCCAAGGCGGAAAAATCATGAGCACAAAACAAATAAACAGGTTAAATCCTAACATTTAAAGAAGTTCTTGTTAGTAACAAAGTGCCATCCATTACGAGGTAAATAGTTAGTCTAAAAGAACTATGTTTCAAACCAGCTAGAAATATGTGAGTTAACTCTAATTATTTTGGATTTTGGGCTTAGTATATCAAAAATTTTAATGTTTTACATCTAACTTCAAACACTTGAAAATAAACATGTACAATATTCAATTCGCTTACAATTATAGTTAAATTATATAAAAAAATGAAATTATAATTTTTATAGATTTCAAAGCACGAGGGCCGAATACAGTTTTAGCTATTCATTGGCTTAGAATTTTCTCTCCATGAATCATGGATTATGCTGTACAAAATTTATATGTCACAATCTTTTTCATAAACGTTTTTTGTCAATTCTACTTTTGTCAAACTAGTTAGCATTTCCTTAATTCACGCCACGATATGTTTCTACAAAATTCTTGAAAAAATATATATATTTTAAATTAGGGTCTCGTGTTCTCATTCACTTGTCTGAAATAGAATTTTACTTCTTGTGATAAATAAGTTCATGTTGTAAGAATAATTTAAAAAGACTATACATATATATATATATAATTTATTTTCTTTTGTACGGAATAAATTTATTAAATATATATAAACACCTTCTTGTAGAGGAAAATGGAACGTTTTAATTTATAATAGTTGTATTTTAATCTCACCGTTGAAACACATTATTGTTTATGCAGGTATGTTGTAATTATTAATTTACTGTAGTTGTTATGATCATGCAATTATATTATTTTAAATTATTTTTTCATGTGGGCATGTTCTTCCACCCTCAACAAATGAACATTATCTGCCTCCTAATTTTTTATGTCCTTTATTGGTGGTTAGCTTCAATAATTTATGACATATTATTGTTGTATTTCTCTTAATGTTGTGTTTTATTTCAATTTAATCGAGTGTGAATTTTTTCATACCTCCATATACCTCTAATGTGGAGCGTATGAATTTTTCGAAACATTGATTCATATATCTCTAATAAGTAATATTTGAATTTCAAATATTTGTTTGATAGAATATGAAATTACTAACATTTAAATAGTGAAAAATGTCACTTCATATATAATTATGCTGACATTAGCGTGTTATTGCTGGTGATAACATCAGTTATTTAAATTTCCTCTATACTTGTATCAATATACAAAATAAATATTTTAGATGACTAGTATGGTCACAGCACAATTATACCGATTTTCTATATCAATAATAAAATTAAATAAATGTTTTAGATTATTAGAATTAAAATACATATCAAATTAAGTAATTAAAAAACATTTCTGGCCCCATATCATTATTAAAGTGATCCCAATCACCCAATATGGACCTGATATTCCTAGCTCCTAGTTTTTGGTGGTTAGCTTCAATAATTCATGCCATTAAATATTGATTGAGATTGAGTCTATTTTTTTTTAGTTGTTTATTTGGGTATTTAATATTGTGAAATGCTACATTATCAACTAAGTCTACAACTAGGTTCACCACACATGTGAAAACATTCATTTGTATATTTTTTTGTTTTTATTTTGTGTATTTTTTTGTTCTTTTTTGAATGAATTTCACTTGTGTTGTCAACCTAATTGTACACTAGGTTGGCTATGTATTATTTTTCTTTAATGAGAGAAAACAGGACGATTTTATCTAGATAAGCAACTATTAAAAGATTTTGTCTAATATATAATAAATTATTAAGGATACAGTGTCTAATAAAAATAACGGGCAACTAGAAACTGAATTGCTAAATATCACCCCCCTTTTACTACTTACCGCCTCTTGGACAATTTTGCCCTTAACATTTGTTTCTAAAAAATAAAATAAAAAAAAATGAAAAAAATTCTGTCACCGTGCACAATACCGGCCGTAATCGCCGGTTGGACGCACCGTGCACTACCGTAATCGCCGGAAGGACAGACCGTGCACCGTCCTGTTTCGCTGGTAGGACGGATCGTGAATGGCCGTCTTCACCGGTAGGATGCACCGTGCACGTCCGTCTTTGCCGGCCGAACAGCGGAATTTTTATTTTTTATTTTTATAATCAAATTTATATTTATTATATAAGTTATAAAAATTAAATTTTAATTTATAACATAAATTATAGAAAAACTAATAATAAATAAAAATTATAAATTTTTATTTGTTATAAAAACTAATTAAAAATTATAATTTTTATTTGTTATAAAAATTATATTTTTTTATAATTTGTTTAGTTTTTATAATTTATTTAGTTTATATAAAAATTATTTAATTTTATAATTTATTTAGTTTTTATAATTTAGTTAGTTTTTATAATTTTCTATAAAAATTATGATTTTTATAATTTACTTAGTTTTTAATTTTTATATTTTTAATTAGTATTTACAAATAAAAATTTATAGTTTGTTATAAAAATTATAACAAATAAACATTAATAATTCTTATTTATGTTAAAAAAAATCCGTCGTCCAACCAGCAAAGACGGACAGGCACGGTGCGTCCTACTGGCGAAGACGGCCGTGCACGTCTGTCCTGCCGGCAAAATCGGACGGTGCACGGTCCGTCCCACCGGCAATTGCGGCCGACACCGTGCATGGCCGGTTTTGCCAGCCGAACAGACGGCGAGAGATCTTTATTTTTTTTTTATTTTTTAGAAAAAATGTCAGGGACAAAATTATTCAAATAGTAAGATAAATAGTAACACCCAACCAAAAAATGTCTATTAGTGTCGAGTGAACACAAAATTCAATAATTTCAATCCAACTTTTGTTTAGTTAATCTCTCTCTCTCTCTCGTTAATAATGTGTGGTGTGTTTCATGTTTATGTAAGACTATATTTAGTTTCGGGTATTTGGTGACGATTGTAAATGAACTTTTTGAATTCAATTCGATTTATTAGATAAAGTGAGCTAAAAAAATAAAAATAAAAAACTGACTGAATGGAAATTTGGATTTGGTGTTAACCTTGTGAGTAATTATGAGTTCAAATTTAATGTGATATAATAAAATAATTTCTCAGTAGTTAAAATTAATTGGGTGGACGAATAGTGAAATTTTGTTGAAAAAGTTTAGTAATAATTTATCAATATCATTTAATTATATTGATAATATTGAAAAATGTAAAGTTTAATTAGATGAATAGTGAATATTAAATTAAAATTTCGTATTAAATCATATTTATGTAAATATATATATATAGCAAAACAAAATAAAAAAATATTATTTCTAATCGCAGTCTAAGTTTGCTTGATAAATTATCCGAATTCAAGCTCGTTTATATAGTTAACGAGGAGAACAAGACTTCAAAATAAAAATATTTATATGATTATTTATAATTTAGCTTATTAAGATTCGTTAATACTCGAGTCAATTGTTAATTACCATACATAAACGAAATGCGTGGTTTATCTTCTCGCTGACTCTATTTCCAACGAGATTCGATCCTTCCCATCTTCTCCACATGATCACATCACCAATGGACTAATCACAAAACCACACACAGCAACACACTCAGAGCACAGCCTAATGGGGTTCGAATCCGAGGATCCCAATCGTTTCGAGGAGGCGGTGGTCTTGGGCGTCGACGGTGGCGCCACCTCCACTGTCTGCGTCTGCCTGCCTCTCCTCCCATTGTGCGAGCGTCGCCAGCTGCCCGATCCTCTTCCCGTTCTGGGCCGCGCCGCCGCCGGCTGCTCCAACCACAACAGCCTTGGAGGTACTTTTTCTCCCCTAATTGTCGCCGATAGAGATGGAAATTCGATGCTCGAAATGTGAATGGTCGCTTGATGTGTTCAATTATCAAATTTACGCGGTCTGTATTGTTTCAGGACACGCCAAACTGTATAATTCGTTGATCACTTTTTACTAGGAAGACGATTAATTGTTTCGTTTGTTGAAGTATCTCATTGCATTCGCATAGATTTGCAATTCGAGTCTCTTTGACGTGGTTAGAAATGGAACTCATGGAATCTGGTGTTTGTTGTGAATGACTTGTGGCTGATAAGGAATTAATGTTTCCACTCTGTTTGTTGCCATGTCTAGCTGCCAAAGGGAAATTAGACTCGAATTAAGCAACTAGGATATTCAATTTACTTGTGATGAAACTCCAGTTTCTGGATATTCTCATTTTTAATACACTACACCCTGGAATGGAGGGGGCGATCTCGTAGTTCTTGGTTGTGAAGACGTGTTGGTCCATTTTTTTTTCCCCATTGAAGCCAAACCTAAACCTGTGTTCTAGAGATAGCTTGCTGGCACTTAATATTGCGAAAATGGTGCCTAGTGTTGTCCGTAAATTTACCTAGAAAAATCAGGAACAAAGGTTTGGTTTCATGTGGAATCAATTCCAGCAGTAATGTTTTTGGAAATGAACAACATTTTAACACTGGATCTTCGAACCACATTTACATGGGGCCATGGACTGAACTCGTTTTTGCAGTTTGCTTTTACTTGACATGTGACTATATTATTGGTACACAATAATCCTTAGTTTCTATGTTGTTTGCTTCTATGATTTTGTTCATCTTATTTGAAGTTGGGTCTTGCAGAACAAGCTGCTAGAGAAACACTTGAACATGTTATAAGCGAGGCACTTTCAACAGCTGGAAAGAATCATTCAGCAGTTCTTGCTGTTTGCTTAGGGATTTCTGGTGTGAACCATCCATCGGATCAGGAGAGAATATTGATATGGATGAGGTATTGTTCTCTTTGTATTCTGGTAAATCCCTTTGTTCCATGGTGATAAGTTTCGCCACTGTAAACTACGACTTGTTGGATTTTGAGACTCTGAAGTCCTTAATTGGTAGAGGTTAAAACAGAATCAGAGAGTAAGAGGCTGAACTAAAACCATTAGTACATTTGTATATGGGATTATAATAAGGTCAATTTTCTGATAAGTTTTTCATGTATGTAATTGATTGAAAGCAAAGGTGAAAAAAAAAATCAATTGTCAGCGAGTATTTTTTTAATTGTTTTCTTGTTCCTTAATGGCAAGGTCCAAGATCCACCTAGGCTTATAACCCATGGTACACTAAGACCTTGATGGAAGATGCATTGTGGAATAAACGAATGATAGTTGTGAAGTTAAATTTGGTTATAACTTCTTACAGCAGTAATCTAATCACAAAACATTGGAACCACAGTCATTTCAAATATTGCGCAGTGTGTGCTGACCCTGAACAATAAATAGTCTACATCCTCTAGAATTGGTTATTGAGCTTTATGATATATGTGCAGGAATATTTTTCCTGGTAATGTAAAGATATATGTAAAAAATGATGCTGTAGCAGCTCTTGCTAGTGGGACAATGGGGAAACTACATGGCTGCGTTTTGATAGCTGGTACTGGGTGCATTGCTTATGGATTTGCTGAAGATGGAAGAGAAGCTCGTGCTGCGGGTGCAGGACCTATATTAGGTGACTGGGGCAGGTAAATTCAGTAAGTAAGTATAATTTGGGTTAGATAATACTTTATCTATTGGACCTGGTCTGATGATGAGCCATGAAATGTTTCATCAGATTTGTAAGTAATATACTGTTGCGTTAGATCATGTTTATGTAATCTACTCAACAGGTTAGCCATTAATGGAGTTGTTCTAGTCAGTAATAGGGATGATCTGTTTCAGGTGCTTGATAACCTATCTATCAACTGCCAATATATGTAAAAAGCCAAATATGTTTTTGCATAAACAGTCCACAAATGAGAGAAACACTTAAAAAGGCTTCAATGTAACTATTTTGAGTTGCTGCATCTGTTATATCTAGATTGCCTTAGTGTTTTAGCATATATAATGGAAATTAATGAATCCAGTTAGAATTAACTTTGAACATCTTATGCGAGAAACTTTTCTATGAACACTTCAGACTTCAGAGTGAACATTATAGAGTTTTATGATGTAGGCGCTGGATTCCACTCCCTACTATAAATAGCACAGTCCTGCTCATCATTTTGCAAAACTCTTCATCTATTCGTTTCATATTTATCTATTCTTTCTTATTTATAAAGTAGTCTAAGATGAAAGGTAATATGTAGAATATATCTTACGGTTAGTGTATGGTTCAAAATAGTATATTTGTATCGTCATCAGTTAGATCGATATCCTGTTGCTGTTTTCAGTGGTTACGGAATCGCTTCTCAGGCACTGACAGCAGTGGTGAAGGCTCATGATGGGCGTGGCCCGGAAACTATGCTTACAAATTGTTTCTTGAAATCGCTGGATCTTACCTCACCAGATGAGATCATAGGGTATCTTCCTTTTGAATTTATTTCCTGTTCATACTTTCCATACTGGTTTTCGGGGTTCTACATAATCTGAGAATATGCAGGAGTACCTTGTATATTAAGCTTCCCCGTTCGCTTCAACTTGAATTTGAGTTTGTTAGGGGTCGCCACTTTACATGTCCTCATGGAAACTACTTAGATGGGTGATAAATGACAGCTATTTTAGTTATTTAGGGCGTGCTTGGATACAAATATATCCGCTCAACACGATTTATTTATTTTTTTTTGTTAATCATGGTTAATTTTGAAAAAATTGGTATGGCTAGTTGTTAGTGGGATTTTGAGTTTATATTTAAAATATAATAATACAAGTTGATTTGATGTAAAAGTATGAGAGAGATAATGTGAAGTGACTGTTAGTTAAAATTATGTGAGTAGATGGAGAGTGAATTAAAGTAAATGTGATGTGTAAAAATGATTGATTGATATTATTTAGTTATATTGATAATATTGAGTAATTACAAGGGTAAGGTCTGCGTACAACTGACCCCCCAGACCCCAACCTATTGGGAATATACTGGGTATGTTGTTGTTGTTGTATTGATAATATTGAGGATAGTGGGGTTAGGTTAAAGTTGAATTAGATTTTGAGTATAGATTGAGTATGGATTGAATTATTTTATATACAAATACACCCTTAACTTGCCATCTCCAATCTTTCTCCTACAATGATCAAACTTATTAGCAGAATATCATTTGCAACGAAGTTTGATGTTTATTTTTTGCAAAATATATTCATTTTTTTCCTTTTTGTTCGAAAATTTACGCACAAGGGACTGAAGTAACTTCGTGGGCATTACGCTTAACAAAAGTAGTTTTCAGCATCTTTTTTTTTTCATTTTATTGCTTATTGGAATTTAGGTGGACCTATGCAGATTCATCTTGGGCTAGAATAGCAGCACTAGTCCCTCTCGTGGTATCTTGCGCAGAAGATGGCGATCAAGTTGCACATGAGATATTGATTAATGCAGTCCAAGAGTTGGCTCTAAGTGTAAAGACTGTCGTTCAACGACTATGTTTGGCTGGGGAAGGTGTGACCTCGGTTTTTCTTAAAATTTGCTTCAAGTAAACGCTAAAAGTTGTTCTAGTGAGCCTAGTATTTTATCCCACCTACTCCTCGTGAGTGGTGACAACTAAATTATGTTGGTCTATTGCAGATGGAACTGATTCTTTCCCAGTTGTCTTAGTTGGTGGTGTCCTTGAAGCTAACAAGAGGTGGGACATCGGGAAGGAAGTTACTGACACAATTTTGAAGGCCTTCCCAGGGGCTTTTCCCATTAGACCAGAGGTTTGTTTTATGATTGTGGACGTTTATAATGCGTTTTTGTGACCCCACGCGATACATCTATCTTTTTCCCCCACAAACTATTTATTTATGAAATTGTTCCATTTTTGTCTGATTAGTCAAGATCTATGTTGTTGATATGTGAATTAAAACAAAAAATATTTCAGTTTCATCGCATTTCACTTCTTTCTTTACGTTCTCACTAATACAATTAAAAAACAAAATTCAAACATTATTATATATTTTTACCAACAAAAAATACTGTTCACCAATTCTCATATTTCTTACTACCAATCACTATCAACTCAAGGAGACAGAGATGGTTGGAACAAAATAATTTTCTTTAAAGGTCTATTTTTCAGAAAAAAAATCATATCCAAATTACATTCGAACGCTAAATAGATTGCTAATTGTGTCGCCTTTTTAGGTGGAACCTGCAATTGGGGCTGCATTGTTCGCATGGACCAGCTTGATGAAAGAAATGGAAGCAAATGGCCACAGATGACATTATAAATATCCAGAAAATTTGCTGAATGTGTGTATTAATCGAGAGAGTTCCTAATTGTGGTGTGCTCTGGATTATTTGCAGTTCCTAATTGTGTAGTTTCCGTCTTGCAGATATTATTACTGGACCGAGAGAGTTCCAGCTTATTACGCTAAGGTAAATTGTAACTATAAATGTTGTTGGGAATCTCCATTTATAATTACCTCATGTAACATATTGGACATTTAATGCTTAAAAAAAAATTGTAGTTGGACATTCAGTTTGAGTGAGTACCAATTTGCCCCAAAACTAGTCAACTGCACCAACCGATTCTTTCGATGATAAATCTGTTTCACTTCAAAAGAGATTGCCCATAACTTTAACAAATGATGACATCAGCTTAATTGTTGATTTGCATTTGTTGTTTCAATGGTTTTATGAGTTTAAATCGGTTTATTTGGCTCCCTATAGCTCAGCATTTGCATTTTTCGGACAAAAGCTACACAGTACACAAATGCTTCATAAAATTCAAAGATTTTCCATTTTTTTTTATATATTATTTTGACAAAGTATTCGAGGACATTAATAGCACTTTTAATGCCGTGTAAGGCTGTAGTACCAAGGAGTAGTTTTTTTGCACTGCTGTCCTGTTTTGGCACTCTTGTGTACCCAAACCATGTATTTATTGCTAATTACTCACCTACCAGCTGTTAATTGCCTTCCTAATTTCTTCCTGGACTAGGTTAGATGAATTTCATACTCCATGTTAAACAAATTATGGCGTATTAATCGGTCAATTCGTCATGTTTTTTTAAACATTAATACATAATTATACTGTGAAATTATTTTTTTTTTTTTTCATTTTTGTTTTCTAAATTCTGTACTTGAATACAAAAGTAGGCATATTTATTTAGAAAATATAATTACTTAACGACTAATAAATTATTTCGGTAATTTTTTCACATTATTCAATTTTATAGGACAGTACTTTATTATATTCTTCATTATTCCATCTTATATTCTAATACATGATGTCACTTTTCTACTTGGTACTAATGACTTGGAATCAAGAATTGAAATTTAAATGAACGTGTAAAAACCTCATTATGTGGACGAACATTAATAGTGGATTCGCAGATGTGTGGATGATAGAAACATGCATAATTTTGCGGTGTAGTTATAAATATCATAATATAAATGGTGCTATAGGTTGTCTAATGGTTAAGCACTAATCCCTTTTTATATATAATTATAGTTGTATTATGAAATAATATATTTTTGTTAATATTATATTATAAAGTATGATATTCGAATATAAATATATGTACATATTTATTTGAAATGTATACATGTCTACTATTAGACAGACTAACAAAAGACATCAATACAAGAATAATATCACATTTTGACATCGCCAACCGTCGGGTCAACCCGTTGATTAGGGTTTCAATCCAACATCGAAAGTAGGCGCGTGTATTAAGCCGGCCAGTTCCAAGTCAAGCCCAAAAAGCATTTTGACTCGGTGGGTATGGGTCTAACCAAGTCAAAATGCTTTTTGGGCCCATACCCGAGTCAAAATGTTTGACCTACAAACAACGGCGGATCCAGGATGATTACATAATGGAGGCACCATATAATTAACACTGCGTCGTCGCCTCGCTTGCAGATTTGATGTATCTTTTTCTTTTTCCTTTTCCTTTTTCTTTTTTTAATATATGTATACATATATTGACGGAATGGACATGAGGCCCCAATAAATATATATACATGTATCTTTTTAATGGGTCTCTAAATATTTCTGTTTTCTTTTAATAATTAAGTTNAATAATTAAGTTTATTATTTTGGGTTGTTAGTTGTAGGTTGAATTGTTTTCTGTTTGAGCTGAGGGCATAATTTTAGGCCTAGAAGAATTTTACCCTTTGGACTACATAACTAATGGGGAATGCTCTCCTACCCACGGTAGACACATGTTAATATGCCCACCGCTTATGTGACATGCACACATTGGTGATGTTAATATATTAAAAAAAATATATCACCAATGTGTGCATACCACATAAGCGGTGGACATATTAACATGTGTCCACCATGGGTAGGAGAACATTTCCGCATAACTAATATAAGTTGGAGACAATTTTGTAGTGGGCCTGTGACCCCACTAATATAGGCTGGATCCGCCACTGCCTACAAAGCATTTTGACTCGGTGGGTATGAGCCTACACAGCATTTTGCCTCTGTGGAAAACCTGTTTGACCTACTGCATTTGATGCCGAAAATTTTGAATTTTCGCTTTCTTGATTTGGTTATGAGTCTGACCCGAAACCGGCGGGTCAGACACGAGTACAACTTAATCTCAATTGTTGAATGTTGTAGTCGTTGCAAGATCAAACAGTCAAAATTCACTTGAACATGCAGGTTTGCATGAGGTGTTTT